GGGCTTGCAGCGACGTAGCCAAAGCGGGATCGAGCGACTGGGGCTGCAACAAGAGGGCGAAAGCAGGATCCTCGGGAGACACGGGCTCGCCCGCGCCGCTGACGAAGTGGGCACGTTGGGCAGCACACCGCGCCCATGCAGCCGTGGCCTTGGCTGAAGCGTCCCACTCGCGCTCCTCGAGCGACTCCATGGCGAACCTGAGCTGCACGAGCTCTTGGACCTTCCCCTGCAGCTCAGACTCGACCTTCTGGATCTTCTTGCCAGTCTGCAGGACCTGGCGCTTGATGTCGTCGAGGACGGACTGCGCATGCTGCGTGACAGCGCGCGGGTCGCCAGCGGCCACCGCCCGCTGCGCAACCACCCTGGCCAGCTGCGACGGCGACAGCAGGGGCCTGACAACCTCGAATTCTTCATCGGACATGCGCACCATGCGGGCCAGCTGGTCTGGCTCGAGCAGTTTGTGCTTCGGCTTGAGTTTGGGCGGCCCGCCTGCCCATGCCCCTTGAGCAGCAAGAGGCTGCGCAACAGCAGAAGCAGTAGGACGAGCCGAGCCACACTTGTAACATAACTTTTTCCACCCGAAGTTGGTTTTGAACCCGCACTTCCGTTTGGGACAGCACCATACATCGCTGCGGTCGCCCATCTAGTGGGCGGAACACGGATCACTTGCTCCAGCAGGAGCTCACAAAGAAAGACGGATGCCAAACGCTGGTTGACCCAATCACCTTGAGAAGATGGATTACTTGAGCCAAAATGGCTTGAACCAAAATGGCTACGGGCCTCCTCCTCCTCCTCCTCTTCCTCCTCCTCCTCCTCCTTCTCCTCCTCCTCCTCCTCCTCCTGCTCCTCGCAGGCAGCTGGATCGCCGACAGGAACAAGCGCCGCCCGTCGCTACCGAAGACGAGGGCGCCATCACCTGGGCGGGCCAAAACGGCTCTGCTGCTGCGTGCCTCCCTGTGTGGATGGCGGTGGACCCTCCGTCTCGACCCACTCCAACGGATCCGGAGAGCACGGAAATTCAGGTTCCACGCCTGATTAACAAAGCAAAGACCCCTAACCCTTTGGGATGGGACCTAAGTTAGGAGGGCTAGGAACATTAGGATAGGGGGTCTATTCTGCAGATGTACCAGGCCAAACCGCCCTGAGATTATCCCTAGTTAATGTCAGGACGGGGACCTCAGTGAGGCCGCGTCTTAATTGTGTTTTTGGGGTGAGCGTCGGGCCGTGAGATGTCGATCCTTCACAGAACGCGGCGAGTCATTTCCCGATCTCTCCACAGGCAAATCCAGCGGGGGCGGCGCGCAACCGCAGTGGGACGAGGCTAACCGTCATTACGTGTCGGCCTCGGTCACAACAGCGAGATGGAGGAAGGCAGACGAAGCGAGGGCAGTTGAACCCGAATCCCTGGCGTATGCGGCTCTTGCTGCGGACCACACAAGGTCCTGAGTATGGGCGGGAAAATGGGGCCAACAGGCACATGCCCAGAACACCAGGCACACTACCAGCGACATTTGGGCCAAGATTGTGTGACGGCCAACCAGTGCAACATGCGAGATCACACGGCCTGTCGTTCTTCCTGCTACTGAAGGGTAATGTAACGTGTAAGTTAACAGGGGGGCCCAGCTCAGAGGAAATCCAGAATGCATCGCCGACAGGCCCCTGATGGAGAATCCGCACGCGCCTGGGCGGGGTGGGGTGTCAAACCCCTGTCGGCGATGAATGGCCGATTCGGGGTCGATGCATGCCCCTCTGAGTCTATCCCCCTAATTAACATTGTCTGGTGGATTCCGGATCATGACTCGGCTCTCCAGCAGCCAGCCGGGACGATCTGAGCACCCCCGAACGCCTCTCGGCGATGCGCAGCTGCTGGAGTGCACCCCGAGGCTGGAAAGCCGCCGATAACCGACGCAAGCGCCCGAAAACCATTACCCTCGAACCCGAAACGTCCCCCCCTGGCCCTATGCCCCTTGACGTTGCCCCTGACTCGTCCCTCTCTCCTTCTTGCGCTGCTGCTTCCCGTCATCTCCATGTCTTCTTATTCCATCCTGGTGCTAGCCTTAAGTCGGGCGTGTCCACCTACAGGGGGATTTTCATCGAAAACTAAAAGGTAGTCAAACAAATACCCCACAATGGTCAAACAATGCTCCAAAAATAGTCCCCAGACTATTTTTGTTGACTATTTTTGAATTTCCCCCCTGTAGAGGGACAGGCCCGACTTAATGTTAGCCGACTCTAAGCAGGCGCCCATCGCTCAAGATTGGACGCTGTTGAGCAGGGACCGACCGCCCGGGCATTCCTGTAGTCCTGCCACGAAATGCTCTCAGAACCCAAGAATGCCCCAAGAACAGAAACAATGCTCTTAGAACATGAGCCTCACGCGTTCAAACAAGACAGTCCCGGCAAGAAATGCTCCGAGAACATTTCGTGGAAGTCAGAACAGGTTCTTAGAATTAAGTCGGGCCTGTCCCCCTACAGGGGGATTTTCGACGAAAAAAAGAATACCCCAAAAATAATCAAAAAAATAATGCAAACATCATCTGGGGACTATTTTTTGAACATGTTTTTTTTACCTTCTTGGGGTGTTTTGGTGAATGTTTCATTTCTCGTCGAAAATTCCCCTGTAGGGGGACACGCCCGACATAATCTTAGAACATTGCTTGGTGTGGCTATGGGCACGCCGCGACGCTCCGCCACTGCTCGATCTCCCGGCAGACGCCGGCGCTCCGCACGAGGAGGCACGCGCCGGGGCCCCATTCGGTCCCACGTCCATACGAGGACGGCGGCAGCCCCGCTCCGCCGAGCGACCCCGCGGACTGTGATGAAGTCGGGCGTGCCCTCCTCCCCCCCCCGACAGGGGGATTTTGGACGAACAGCAAAAAATAGCCAAAAATACCCCAAAGTGCTCAAAAGAGTGGTCCACAAATCGTCCCCGGACTATTTTTTGGCTGTGTGAGAAAATTCCTCCTGTAGAGGGACGGGCCCGACTTAAGACTGTGATGTTCCAACCGACTCTAGCCTTGAACACCAGAAAGAGTTTCGGGCACCAGGAAAGTACCGAAGCTGTTTTTTCTCGCGTCGGGCCCTGGGAGGCGATGCTCGTTCGGCACTGTGTTTCGATACTTTTCTGGGTGCTCGGAACTATTTCTGGGATGTGGTTCTTGAGCACGTTCCCAGCAGGGCAAACAAGACCGATCATCTCCCTCGTTGGCCCGCTGGCACGGCGGGCCGGACGAGGGGGGTGATAGCAACGGGGGGGTTAGCGAACCAGCTCAAGTTTGCCATCATCGTCCTCCTCGTCCTCCTCCTCCTCCTCGTCCTCGTCCTCCTCCTCCTCCTCCTCCTCCTCCTCCTCCTCCGTCGTCGCAGCCTCGGTGTCGCCGCCCCACCGGCAGGCGGTCGAACTCGATCCCTGGACCCCTCACGGCTTGGCGGTCGGACTCCGACCGCCAAGCCGCGCGCCACCGTGGCGACGAGAGCCTGCAGAAGTCTCTGGACCGACGACGACGACGCCGTCGCCTTGATCTGTGCCTTTGAGGACAACCTCGAAGAAATCAGCCCCCAAACCTCTCCATGAACACGTCCTGGCCAGAAGTGCCACGTGGAACCAACCGTGGCCACGGGAAGGCCCCTGGAGGCCGCAGAGGGGTAGTGAAAGAATGGAGAAACGATCCTTTAGCCTTGACGGCGATGGGAGTGACATGACGACGACGATGATGACGAAGACGAGGAGGAGGACGAGAACAGTCCCGACGCCGTGGCAACAAGAAGCCTCCTAGAGGCCCCAGCACGGCCAAACACGTGCACAAACCTTGATGATCGAAACCCGAAAACCACGATAAACTAGGACAAGGCGAAGGACGAGGACGATCACGACGACGACGACGCCGTCATCGTCGCGGTCTCCTCGCGAGGCCTTACGAGGGTGCGTTCTGGCACGATGCCGTGAGGGACCTAGCAGCGGCGACGAGATGCCCCACTAGAGGCGCTACGTAAATGGGTTCAGAAAAAAAACATCACGACAACCGAATCGATGACGACAACGTCGACGAAGACGACGAGGACGAAGACGTTGACGACAACGACGAGAACGAAGACGTCCTCGTTGCCGACAAGGACGACAAGGACAAGGACGATGAGGAGGACGACGCTGCCAGAATTATTTCAAGCGCGCAGCTGCCGACACTTGCATTCGATGCGACAATAATCATGATCTGCGGGCTTGGGCCTGGCCTCCGCGCGCACACCGAAAACCGCGCCCCAGAGGTCAAGCGACGGGTCACTCCTTGCCACGTGTGGCCGTGCGGCGGGGCCGAACGACGACGGCGTCGTCATCGACAAGGATGCCGATGAAAAGCGACAAGGGCGAGCACGACTGCGACGTCGACGACGAGGACGACGGCGTCGTCGACGTCGTCCAAGAAGACGAAGACGAGGACACCACTGACAAAGATGACGCCGTCACCGTGATTTGAGCCCTTCATGGCGACCTCGAAGATGTCGACCACCAGACCTCCCTAAGGTTACGCTGTGACCAGACTTGCCAGATGAATTCAGCCGTCGCCGCGAGAATGCCCCCGGAGGCCCCCCACAAAGGCAGATGTAAACACTACAAAGGCCTCGATCCTCGGATCTCGGCGACAACGGCGACGACGACGACGACAAAGACGACGACGACAAGGACGACGACGACGATTGACTCCCGACGTCGTGGCTTTTCCACCAGTGTGGACCCCCAGAGGCCGGGACCCCTTTGCGCAAGGACCGCTCTGCCGCCCCGAGCCCTCTCCGGCCGGCCCCCGGGGGCCTGGCGAGGGGCCCCCCGAGGCCGAAGCGGGTGCAGGAGACCTGCCGCCGCGACCTCGTCGCGACGCGCGAGGGCGACGCCGCCGAGCATGGCCGCGAAGTCGTCGTCGTCGTCGTCGTCGTCGTCGTCGTCGTCGTCGTCGTCGTCGTCGTCGTCGTCGTCGTCGTCGTCGTCGCCGCGGTCGCCTGGCGAGGCCTCACCGCGCCGGGGCCAGCGGCCGCCTCGTCGGGCTCTCCTCCGGCCCGCCGCGGGAGCCCGGGCTGGCGCCCGGGGCGCCTGGCGGCGGGCTGCTCTGACGGTGGTGGCGCCCCGCCCCCGCCCCGCCCCCCCCCCCCCCCGAGCGGGGGGAAGAGGAGAGGAGGAGGAGGAGGAGGAGGAGGAGGAGGAGGAGCAGGAGGAGGAGGAGGGGGGGGAGGAGGGTGAGGAGGAGAGGAGGAGCAGGGGGAGAGGAGGAGGAGGAGGAGGAGGAGGAGGAGGAGGGGAGGAGGAGGAGGAGGAGGGAGGAGGAAGGAGGAGGAGGAGGAGGAGGAGGAGGGGAGCAGAAGAAGGAGGAGGAGGAGGAGGAGGAGGAGGATGAGGAGGAGGAGGGGGAGGAGGAGAGGAGGAGGAGGAGGAGGAGGAGGGGGAGGAGGAGGGGGAGAGGAGGAGGAGGAGGAGGAGGAGGAGGAGGAGGAGGAGGAGGAGGAGGAGGAGGAGGAGGAGGAGGAGGAGGAGGACCCCCTCTCCCTCCAACTTATGGTGGTGGTGGTGGTGGTGGAAAACAGGCCCATCATGCTCGGGGGCCGTGCGGCGACGACGACGTGGGGCATGCGGGCGTGCGGGCGGCGAGGCGGCGTCCACGAGGCCGTGGTCGACGGAGCCGCGGTCGACGCGAAGCTCGACGAAGCCGCGGTCGGCGAAGCAGCGGTCGGCGAGAGATCGGCGAGGCCGTGGCCGACGTAGCGGCCGCGGGCCGCGCGACGTCGGCGGCGACGAAGCCGTGGCCGACGACGAGGCCGAGGGCGGACGGCGGCGGCGACGAGGCCGACGGCGACGTCGACGAGGATTTTGAGCTCCGATGATTCTGGGCGGCCCGCGCGAGAGCATGCGTCATAGGAGGCCGCCGTCCGTGTCAGCAGAGCGTCCTTTCAAGATGCACCTTTGGCCCGTTCGCGGCAGGGCGCTGGCCTGCGCAGAATATGAATGGCGGTGCAGGCGCAACACCTGCAAGTTCGACATCGCCCCCCGGGCGCCCGCTCTCGATGGCAAGCTCTGTGGTCGATGACGAGGTCGAGGTCGGGCGAGAGGGGGTTTCCTAGCGGGGGGAGTCAGCGAAGCAGCGTGCGCAACTGCTTTCCCTGGCGCCTCCCGGCGGCGGGGGCGCCAATCTGTCGAGGGAGACGCCGAACGGCGAAGCTGGAGCCCGCTGCATGCGGCCGATGTCGCACTCCCCCCGATAATCCTGTCCTCAGCTCTTGGGAGGTCTTCGTCAGCCCAGGACTGAGCTGGATCAGGCGGGATGGAGCCAGATCAAGCGGGATTCAGCCGGATCAAATGGGATTATAAGCCAGATAAGGAATGTTTTCGACCAGGGATCTGCCAGCGCCGATTCTGAACTTCACGTCCCAGGGATCGCATCTTAACAACTTATCCATCTTCTTCGTCAATTGGCGGCGCGCACAAGGGGGTAGGGGGAGGGGGGAAGACTTCTTAGAAGGAGGCTGCTTCTTAGAAGGCGCCGGAATCACATCCGCAGACAAAAGGCCCGACCCTCCTAAGAAGCAGAGGGGGATTCTAAGAAGCCTTCAAACCCTCCCCCTTCCCCCCCCCCCTCTGCGCGCGGCTGAGCCCGACCCTCGGGGCAGTGCCGAGGCAGGGACGACGACGAGGTCGAGATCGGGGTCGTCGTACGCCGACGGCCTCTCCCATCTGGCGCCCCGATGTGGCAGCGGGGCGGCCCGCCTCTCGCCACCTCTCGGCACGCGGAAGCCAGCCGCGAGTCCTGGGGGCTGTCGAGGAGCCGGCTCGGTGCCAAAAACTGGCCCCGGCGGGCAAGGGAGCCTGGCAGGATCGAGGTCGATGCCGAAGGGCGACGACGAGGACGACGAGGGGGAGCGAGGATGGACGCGGGGAGGAAGGCATGGGAGCTCTGACGTCGATCGGACTTCATGCCAGAGCACGCAGCGTTCTGAAATGGCGACAGAAAAGGCTTAGGTCGGGCATGTCCCCCTACAGGGGGGATCTTGGGCGGAAAATAAAAAATACCCCCAAATACTCCAAAAATATTCAGAAATGGTCTAACAATCGTCCTTTGATTATTCCCCAACCAGCCTGTGTTGCTGGGTCCTCGTCTTGAAGAGACGGTCGCCGCGTCCTCCCTCATCCTCCTCCTCCCCACCCTCATCCTTTCACCCGCCATCATCCCCATCATCGTCATCATCATCGCCGTCATCAGCACCATCACCCCTCACACGTTTCGTGGCCCCATAGGGAGCTCCACCGAAGGCCCCAGTGCCGCCGGCCGCATGCGTCCCGCACACCCAAGTCGGTACACCCATCACACGCTTCGTGGCCCCATAGGGAGCTCCACCGAACGCCCCAGTGCCGCCGCCCGCATGCGTCCCGCACACCCAATTCGGCACACCCCTCACACGTTTCGTGGCCCCATAGGGAGCTCCACCGAAGGCCCCAGTGCTGCCGGCCGTATGAGTCCCGCATACACAATTCGGCACACCCCTCACACGTTTGGTGGCCTCATGGGAAGCTCCACCTAGGGACCCAGTGCCGCCGGCCGCATGCGTCCCGCACACCCAATTCGAATCCGGCACACCCCTCACACGCTTCATGGCCCCATAGGGAGCTCCACAGAAGGCCCCACTGCTGCCGGCCGCATGCGTCCCGCACACAAATTTCGGCACACCCCTCACACGCTTTCGTGGCCCCATAGGGAGCTCCACCGAAGGCCCCAGTGCCGCCGCCCGCATGCGTCCGCCACACCCAATTCGGCACACCCCTCACACGCTTCGTGGCCCCATAGGGAGCTCCACCGAAGGCCCCATGGCCCACTCCGCCGCGGGCGCGCATTGCGCCTGCCGCGGGCCGCATGCGCCCCGCACACCCAATCCGGCACCACCCCTCACACGCTTCGTGCCCCATTGGGAGCTCCGCGAAGGCCCCAGTGCCGCGGGCCGCATGCGCCCCGCACACCCAATTCGGCACACCCCCATCACACGTTTCGTGGCCCCACAGGGAGCTCCACCGAAGGCCCCAATGCCGCTGGCCGCATGCGTCCCGCACACCCAATTCGGCTACCGAAGGCCCCAGTGCCACCGCCCGCATGCGTCCCGCTCACCCAACTCGGCACACCCATCACACGTTTCGTGGCCCCATAGGGAACTGCACCGAAGGCCCCAGTGCCGCAGAACGCATGCGTCCCGCACTCCCAATTCGGCACACCCGTCACACGCTTCGTGGCCCCTCAGGGAGCTCCACCGAAGGTCCCAGTGCCGCCGCCCGCACGCGTCCGGCACACCCAATTCGGCACACCCCCATCACACGCTTCGTGGCCGCATGGGGAGTTCCACCGAAGGCCCCAATGCTGCCGCCCGCATGCGTCCCGCATACCCAACTCGGCCACCGAAGGCCCCAGTGCCGCCGCCCGCATGCGTCCCGCACACCCAAGTCGGCACACCCCTCGCACGTTTCGTGGCCCCATAGGGCTCCACTGAAGGCCCCAGTGCCGCCGCTCGCATGCGTCCCGCACACCCATTTCGGCACACCCCTCACACGTTTTGTGGCACCATAGGGAACTGGTGGTCCCCACAGCTTCCCTAGAGCCGATTTCTTCGTCGTCTTCGTCCGTCGTCGACGTCCGACCTGCGCGTAGCGCGGCGCCCGCAGCCTTGAACTTTGGAGCGCGAGGGTAAGGAGGAAGGACAAAAACGGGAGGAAACGGGCGCGATCCTCGTGTGGGGCGTGCCGACGTGGGCGTCGCGGCGCGCGGGCGCTGCTGTCGGGGTTCCCAGGAAAACTCCTTGCGGAGGCTACGCTCAGTGTTACGAGTTCTCAGAGTCAGGCAGACCCAAACCATTCACGGGCGTATGCATTTACACTAGGCGACTCCATGCTCGCAGTCATGCAAATAGAAACAATCGCACGCATATTCGTTCAAAATCAGACTCACTCGCGCTAAGACTCGCCCGCGCTCAAACTTTCATACTCAGACCTATCGTTTTCGTTCGTGTTGTGTACCCTATCACACAATTCGGCACACCCCTCATACGATTCGTGACCCCATGGGGAGCGCCACCGAAGAATAGATTCACAATTGCGGTATTCACAACTGCGTATGGTTGGGTCCTTCGCCAGGCTAATTTTGACTATTTGTGAAAATTCCTCCTGTAGAGGGACAGGCCAGACTTAAGAAAAGGCCGACTTGGGCTCAAGACAAAGAGCAGATTATACGCCGGGCCGGCGCAGCAGGTTGAAGAGGCAGGAGGGCCTCTCCGCCTTCTCTTCTCCGCCTCCGCCCCTCCACTTCTCCGCCCTCTCGCCTGGGCGAGAGGCGGGACATGCCTGTGCGGCAGAAGATGTTACTCCTGCTCCTCTCTTTTTTTCTTCTTCTCTCTCTCTCTCTCTCTCCTCTTCCTCCTCATCGCGCCTCGCGCGAGCTCCTGCGCGCGCGGAGGAAGAGGAGGATTAGGAGGAGCAGGAATTGGGATTTGGAGGAAGCGTGTTGCTCGATGCGCACACCCCGCCATGCGGGGAGGATTGGCTTGGGCGCCTGCAGGGTCTGCTCACGCGAGCGGTGCCACCTGCCGCCGGGCACCTAGTTACCGGCAACTGCGTCCGCAGCCCGCGATGCCGGCCCAAATCTCAGGTTGCGGCAGCACCTGCTCTTCTGTTATGTGGGGTGAGAGTGGGACCCACCTGACTGTTCGGCCCACCTGCTCTTCTGGACCCACCTGCTCTTCTGGACCCACCTGCCCTTCTGGACCCACCTGCTATGGGGGTGAGAGTGGGACCCACCTGCTCTTCTGGACCCACCTGACTGCTCGACCCTGGCCAAGTCCACCAAGTCCTGCACTCCTCGCCCGGGGCCGCTCGGCTGCGTACAGGCCTGTGCACGTCTCGGGCTAAAGAGGGGGGACGGGAGCGGGAAGAGGGGGATCACGCGCAGGATAGTGAGGGGGGGTGAGGAACGAACTATGAGCAGCATGGGTAGCAGCATGGAGAGAAGCGGACTCCGAGCACGAAGCCGCCCGCGGCCAACGGGCGGACGGCGTGCGCCCAGCGGCGCGCGGCAGAAGGATGAAGAAGCCGCCGAACACAGAACGGAAGAGGATTCAGGACGGAGGAGGCTTCAGGACGGAGGAGGATTCAGGAGGCAGAACGCTCCACCAGGAGCTCTCAGCGGAGGGCGGATCCAGGACGGAGGAGGGTCCAGCACGGAGGAGGATTCAGCAGGAGGGGCAGGGGGGGGAGGAGGAGGAGGAGGAGGAGAGGAGGAGGAGGAGGAGAGGAGGAGGAGGAGGAGGAGGAGGAGGAGGAGGAGGAGGAGGAGCTGAAGGGTCTGAGGAGGAGGAGGGCGTGGAGGGAGCAGGAGGAGAGGAGGAGGAGGAGGAGGAGGAGGAGGGAGAGGAGGAGGAGGAGCTGAGAAGGAGGAGGCGGGGGAGGAGGAGGAGGAGGAGGAGGAGGGAGGAGGAGGAGGAGGAGGAGGAGGAGGGGAGGAGGAGGAGGAGGAGGAGCGAGCGCGGCCGCAGCTAGGGAGCGCGGCCGCAGCGGCGTGGGCGAGGCGGCCGCAGCGGCCGCAGTGGCGTCGGCGGGCCGGGCGGGGCGCCTGCCGTCGTCGGAGAGCCGCCTCCCCTCGAGGCCCACCCACCGACGCCTCGTTGCCTCCTCCTCCTCCTCCTCCTCCTCCTCCCTCCTCCACCTCCTCTCCTCGACCCCCCTTCCCTCCTGGATCCTCCTCCCTCCCCCCCTCCTCCTCAGCTCCTCCTCCTCCTCCTCGTGAATCCTCCTCCGTCGGAGGGCGTAGGATTTGGGATTGCGACGCTGATGAAGCCGAACGCCTGTCGGCAAAGGACGTCGCTAGAACTGGCATATACTACGCGTCCAGCTTAATGAAAAATTCTGCGCGGGCCCCCGGTAAGCCAGAGAACAATGCAGTGAACACTTACGAACAGTTCGGGGGCCAGGAAGCAAGGCACAACGGCGGCAGCAAGGCAGGCATCAATGGGCTGTTATGGTGTTACACTGTCGAGGTGTCCCTGCGGGAAGAGGAGGCGCGACCACATCAAGAAGGCTTTTGGTAAGTGGACCTCGACAGCAGGCAGCGCATATGGCGGTTGCGTCGTGCGGCAACTGGGGCCCAAGACATAACGAGACCTCCGACCTCTCGCCTCGGATCCCCCCCGTAGTTCGAAGGGGCCCGAGAGCCGACAGAGGTGAAGCGGGGGCAATCAGCTGCTGCCTGTGCAACAGCCGGCGGTACACGGTGTACGGTCGGCAGCTGTTTGTTGAGCGTGTCGCGGCGGCGGCCCTGGCGGCACGCTATGCTCCGCGCTCCACTCCACGCGGCGAGAGGCTGGGAGAGGCTCGGGACGCTGACGCCCGTACATGGGGACATGGTCAGCATGTAAGCGTGTCGCGCCGAAGCGCGGCAGGCCAGCACAAGCTGCGCGACATGCCGAGCGAACGTTCTGGACCGCAGCTGGGGGAGCGCGTGCCAAACAGCAGTTGGAGGACCATCGCCTCAAGGAGGAAACGAGGGAGACACTATGAATTTACGCGCACCACGCAAAGGGGAGCACTGGAGGTTCACTATACATAGAGGTTCCCCAAACAGTGTTTGCTCTCAGGGGTTCTTACTTCTGTTCTAAGGGGCTGGGCTACTATGACGGTCTGGCGGCTCTGTTGTCGCCTGTCGCCGTCCGCCTCGTCACCGCCCGTCGTCTGGGCCGGTCTTGCGGTCTGGCGGCTATGTTGTTGCCGTCGTCGCCATGTCGCCCCCTGACCTGCTGGGAACTTCCTTCGGGATCGCGCCCTCGCCACTCAAGAAACGCGCTCGCCCCTCGGACTTCCTCGCCGCCCGCCCGCTTCAATCCCCGCCCGCCTGGCCCGTCCACCCGCCCCACCCACCAGTGTCCGCCCGCCCGACCCGCCAGGACAATCCGCCGGGCCCGATGCGCCCGTTATCAACGGCCCCCACCAGACTGGCCCGTTAGAGCCCGCCAGTTCGCTTGCCTGTTAGTCCGCCTGGCCGATATACTGTCCCGCCCGCCGCACCCGCCCGACAAGCGATAGGGTCCGCCCGCCCGACCCACGCGCCCGGGCCCGCCCGTCAGACCCGCCTATTAGAACTCCACCCGCCCGATACGCTCGTCTTACCCTGTCTGGTGTCACCCAGGAGCTGGTATGAAAAAACGAAGACGGGTGCGCTTTTGAGGAAGAGGGCGGGGATCAAGGTTCGTACATGTTCCATGCCACGCGCACAAGCAAACACGGGCCGTCTAAAAGGAGCGTGGATGCTGGGGCAAAAGCCTCAGCGCAAGGACGTGTGAAAGCGAACAGCTCTTTTCAGGAACGTGCATGCGCATGGCGAGGATGCAGGGAGAAGAATCCATCCCCGGAGAATGCGCTCACCCACCCCCGGCGCCCTCCGACTTGGGCGCAGCTGCTCCAAAGCCTGGAGGCCACGGGCGATGCGCACAGCGCCGTGAGCCTGTCCTCGTTGCGGAGAAAGCGGAGTGGGGGGAGGGGAAGCGGGGGGGGAGGGAAGCTGATGATGATGATGATGATGATGGTGAGGAGGATGAGGAGGACAAGGAGGAGGAGGAGGCGAGGAGAGAGCGAAGGGCAAGGGGTGGGTGGGAAGTTCAGGGAGGGAATCGAGGACGTCTGGTTCTGTCAAACTGGGACATGTGGACGGGGAGGCAGCAAGGGGTGTGGGCGGAAGGGGAGGGAGGAGCAGGTAGGGAGGAAAGGACCTAGACATAGAAAGGAGGAGGGACCTGGGGAAGAAATCCGCCGACCCTGTCGGCGTGTGTGAGGGGCTTGTCCGTTCAAGTCGTCATCTCCGTCATTCGTTGGTCGTCGTCTCTGTCGTCCCCTTTCCCTGCCTCTCCCTTTCCCTGGGCTCGTCGAAGCTCCCCCCTTTTCCAGGGACCTCCTCAGCGCGCCAACCAAAGCGAAGTTGAGCAACGTCGTAATTGTGTCGAAGGGAAGCCCCTTCCCTCCGATCCCTTCCCCCGCCGGGGGGGGGGGGGGTGGCAGGGAGGGTCCCGGGGAGGGGGGGGGCTCAGATGCGACGCTCCCCCGGGGAGTCGCGGAGCCCCAAAAAGCCCCAAGACGGGCCAAGAGTGCCACAAGAGGCCCCAAAGACAGTCCAAGAGAACCCCGAATCGCCGAACGATCTGTCCAAGACGCCTTGACGGCCTCCAGACGGCCCAGGAGGCCTGCGAAGCGTCCCAAGAGGCCTCCAGGAGCTTTCCCACGAGAGCCCCAAGAGGCAACATTCATGATCCCATGCGTTTTTAACAGATTTTGGCGTTCTTGCCTCTTCCGCTTCCCGACGCACCAAGACGGCCCAAGAGGCCCCCAAGATCGCCCCCAGACGGCCCAAGAGCCGAAGAAGGCACCAAGACGGCCCAAGACGCCTCCAAGACGGCCCAAGAGGCCCCCAATAATGCCCCAAGACAGCCCAGGACAGCCCCAAATTGCCCAGGAGGCCTCCAAGAGTGCCTGGAGACGGCGCAAGAGGAGCCCTGGACGGCCCAAGACGGCCTCAAGAGAGCCCCAGGCTGTCCCAAGAAAGCCTCTGGCCTCCTCCTCCTCCTCCTCCTCCTCCTCCTCCTCCTCATCCTCCTCCCTCCTCCTCCTCCTCCTCCTCCTTTCCTCCTCCTCCTCTCCTCCTCCTCATTCCCCCCCTCTGCTCCCCCTCCTCCTGCTCCTCCTCTGTCTCCTTCTCCTTCTCTTGCTTCTCCTCCTCATCCTTCTCCCCCCTCCTCCTCACTCATCCACCTCCCCCACCCTTCCTCCACCTCCCACTCATCCTCCTCCCCCTGCCCCCCCTCGTTTTCGTTTTCGTCTTCGTCGTTCTCAGGGTCGGCGGCACTGGCCGTAAGGCCTTCGCAATATGGTAAGTGGCATGGTCCACAGGAGGGGAAACATGGAGGGGAGGGAGGGACGAGGGAATGGAGAGAGGGAGAGAACGATCGGGAGAGGTGGAGGAACGTAATGGCGGTAATGAAGGGAAGGGACGGAAGTGACGGGACGGAAGCGGAGAGATAACCATTATCGTACGTGGGTACTGTTGAAGCGGGAACAAAACGAAGCGAAAGCAGGGTGATATCACATTGGTATGTGACTTCTTCAACTTATCATCGGCGTGCCCGTGGCTATTTGGAAATTCCAGTGCGCCCCAAACTGTCTCAACACATTATAAGGGTGAGTGGCTGTATCTAACATTGTCCCCCTTAGCGCGCCTATCTGCCACCGAAGTGTGGCAGTGACGGCGAGGTGGGGCCGTCCCTCAATATATGTTGTCATTGCAACTGCACTTCACGTCTGCATGTTGGCCAACTGAGGGGCCTGGCACCACTGCCTGGCTGAAGTCGGAGTGATGGGTAAAGGCGGCGAGAAACACTGTAACAACCCAACTGATTACTACGATCATGCTGGTTTGCCAAGGCTAGACGGCAAGACTGCAATCGTGACAGGCTTTCCAGCGTGGGGTCTGTGGATCGTCGCCATGTGCCGTGCGCGACCGGGGAATCCATGTGCATGCAGGCTGCAGCCAGCCCAAAGCGCAGGAGGCTGAAGCCAGCAAATCCGCTGTTCAAGTGGACGGAAAACTGCGATGAATGTCTCAATCACGGCATCAAGGAAGAAACTCGCTTCAGCCTCCAAGGAGAACGAGGACTTGCTGGAGATACGCAAAATTGCCGCGAACGCTGGCAATGAAAACACTGTGCGCCGAGACCCTGTGCCGTTTGGGGAAGCTAATAAACACCGATACCGCTAACCCCCGGACCTCTCCAGGGGTGCGCTCTGACTGGGATTTCGAGGCGACTCCAGCGGCGGCGGCGAGGGCCTGCCAGGAGTCCGAAAGCGCGGAAAACCAGGAGGGGGAGCGGTATCGGCACCTTTTCCTCCTCTGACTTTTCCTGAGCATTTTCTTAGGGTGGAGGGCTCAGGGTGAAATCCACATGGGCTTTTGCACCTCGAAAATCAGTCCGTCGTGTGGTTCACCCTTTGCAGATTCAAGCCTCGAACATCCATCGAAACGGCATTTCAGATTTCACCCTGTGCCCTCCACCCAATGAACATGCTCGGTTTTCTGCCTGCCCTGAAACCCACTTCTCGCGACCGGGCATCCCGACCCAGCGAACCGCACATCCGCCTGCGCCCGTGGGGGCGCAAGCCTGTGCGGAGTGCTCTCACGTGCTGCGCCGGAGAAGGGGAGGGAGGAGGGAGGAGGGAGGAGGGAGGAGGGAGGAGGGGGGAAGGGGAGGAAGGAGGTGGGAGGAGGAGGAGGAGGAGGGGGAGGAGGAGAAGGAAGAGAAGAAGGAGAAGGGAGGAGGAGGAGGAGGAGGAAGAGGAGGAAGGAGGGAGGGAGGGAGGGAGGGAGAGGAGGCGGAGGAGGAGGAGGAGGAGAAGGGAGGAGGAGGAGGAGAAGAGGCCGGGGGGATTGTGGAATCGCACGTCGTTTTGAGATGGTTTCGTCTAGTGGAACGCTTCTTCATCTTTTCTGTTCGCCGTGTTCTCGTTATATCGCTATCTCTCGTTATATCGCTATCTCGTTAAATCGTTGTCTCGTGTTCTCTCTCTCTCTCTCTCCCTCTCTTTGTCTCTCTCTCTCTCTCTGTCTATCGCCTGCACCAAGCCAATGCATGTCGATGCGATACAGGTATTTTTGTCAACCAATGCCAATGCCAATGCAATGTGAATGGGGGAATCCTGTCGCCCGGTGGATTTCAATCAGAATCCTTTGTGGACGGTGTCATTACGAATCCTTCTTCGGAGGATTTCAATAGGAATGCCTTTGTGGACGGTTTCAACAAGGATCCTCCTGTCGAGGGTTTCACTCGGAATCCTTCTTGCGGGGGGTTTAGTAGGAGTCCTTCTGCGGAGGGAGCAATTAGAACTCGCTACCGCAATGCCAACGCAATTCCGCAATTCCGAAGCAGTGCCATCGTAATGCCAAAACCAATGCCAAGGCGATCCCAATCCAATGCCAAGGCAATGCCGATGGGGGGAATCCTTTGTTATATATTCCAAAAGGAATCTTGCTTGTGGAGGGTTTGAATAGAAATCGTTCTGCGAAGGGAGGCATTCGAACTCGCCAGCGCAATGCCAAAGCAGTGCCAACTCTCTGCCAAACCAACGCCAAGTCGATCCAAACTTAATGCCAACGCAAGGCCAGTGGCGTGGATTGCTTGTGGTAGCGTTCAATCGCAATCCTTCTAAGAACCCTTCGGTGCATGATGTCATCCACAAAGGACTCCTTCCAAGGACCTTTCTTCGGAAGATGTAACTAGGAATCCTTATGCGGAGGGATTCGCATGGAACCCTTATGTGGAGGACTGCAATGTGAATCCTTACTGTGGGGGGGTCCGTAGGCATCATTCTTGTAGACGCATTCAATCGGAATCCTTGTGTGGAGCGTTTGATTGGGGCCCACCAGCGTATTGTCATCGCAATGCAAACGCACTGCTAACGCACTGCCATCGCAATGCCAACGCAATGCCAATGCGATGCCAAACCGTTACCAATGCAATGCAGATGGCATGGTTCCAGTCGTTCAACAGATTCTAACAAAAATCCTTATGTGGATGATTTCATTACGGACCCCTTGTCCTCTCCTCCCATCCGCCCTCTCCTCCCCTGCATTAGGGGTTTGACGTAGCACGCGCTGAAGGTAAAAAAGGTATACCCCTGAGGAGGTACGATCGAAAACGGAAAAGGCCTGTATCGAGGGAATGAGATATACGTGTCGGGCAGTCTGAAAAAAAGGCTCTTGAACTCTCGTTTCTTAAGAATACATGTTGTTGACCACCCTCCCTGGTAACCATTGTCCTTCTGTCAATTAAACTGATTATTCTGGGGTTTGCACCCTGTTGTTTACAAGGGAAAGCAAGACGCACGCGTGCCAAGGATCATACAATCACGGATGCGGGAAAATGAGAGATGGAGGTGGCGCCTACCTGTGGTAGTATCGGTGAAGCGTGCTAGTGCTGCGACACGCTGGCGAGTGACCACAACGGGGCAAGGGGCGAATAGCAGCATGGCTGTGTGGACGCAACGCCAAGGTTCGATCCGAAGGCGATCTTAATATGACGGGAAAGGCAGGCCCCCTGTACGGATGGCAGCGCTTGGTCCCAAGAGGGGAGACGCGATGGTATGCGTAGCTAAGATCCGCCACCGTGTCTTGAGCACGTTGTGGAGTGGCCCGGAGCTCATGCAGCCCTGAGAGGCAGGGGTGTTGGAAGGTTCTTAAGGTCCCGGACCCTTGGTTTCCCAGGCGCTCGTGCGCGCTCTTGTGCGGGCCCGGGGGGGGTCGCGTCGTCTTTTGGGACGCCACGAAGGCCCGAAGACGGGCCAAGAAAGACCTCAGAGACTCCCAAGACGGGGGAAAGGGGCCGCGAGTCGTCGACCGATCGGTCCAGGACGCCAACGGCTCAAGATGCCCCCAAGACGCCCCAAGAGGCCTTCAAGAAGCCTTCCGAGAGGGTCCCCAGAGACACACAGAATAGATGCCTGCTAAATGTTGAAAGACTGCTCGCTCTTGGGGGCCTTGGTGTGAAGAACCCTGTTACGTCATTGTGAGCTCGTCGGAACCATGGTTCAATTTGGAGCCACGGTGGGCCGGTCGAAATAAGCAGAGAGGAGCGCGGCACGGGGGACCATGGTCGGGCAGGGAGGGGGGGGGGGGGGCACGATTCGGTTCCGGTCGGGATAAGCAGAGGGGGGGGGGGGGGGGCACGGGGGAAAGGGAGGGCACGGGCAACGGTCGGCAGGGGGGGAGTATGCACGGTCGGCCAGTCGGGAAGACGCCGAGGGAGGCGGGCCACACAGCGAAGGGCAGGACACGGGGGACCACAGTCGGGCAAAGGGGGGGGCTCGGTCGGCCGATTGGCTCCCTCCTGCAGTACACTAGAGATGTGCAAAAAGAAGGTATAGAAGGGGGGGCGCCCCACCGGGGAACAAGGCGGGGGGGGCCCGTCGGGAACACACGCAGGGGACACGGTCGGGCAGGGCGGGGCGAGCAGCGGGGCCACGGGGGGCGGGGGAAGGGGCGGAGAAAGGGGGGGGGCTACACGGTCGGGCAGGGGGGGTTGAGTGAGGGCACGGGTCGAGTAAGCAAAGGGAGGGGGGGGGGCCCAAGGGGGGAAGGGGGGCACGGTCGGACACGTCAGACCGGGTGGCTGGGGCACGGTCGGTCGGTCGGGATAGGGGGAAAGGAGGGGGGCACGAGGGGCCACGGCCGGGCCGGGGTGGCGCACGGTTGGTCCATCGGAAAAAACGCGAGCAGGGGGGGCCACGGCCGGTCGGAACTTGCAAGAAGGGCGGGCCACCAGGCGACGGGTGGGAGGCACGGGGTGCCACGGTGCGGCCGGGGGGGGGAGACGCCCCGCCCCCCTCGAGTCGGCAGACGCATAGCAGATGTGGCGGTGGGGCCACGGGGGGGCAAAGGGCGAGGGGCACGAGTGGCCAGGGCCAAAGCAAGGGGGGGAAGGCCACGGTGGGTCGGTCGTATGAGGCAGAGGGGGGCACAAGGGGGGATGGGGGGGGCACGGGGGACCGCGGTCTGGCAGGGGGGGGGGGCGCATGTTCGGTCGGCGGGAAACTAGTTAAGCAGAGGGGGTGGCACGGGAGGAAGGGGGGGAAGCACGGCATGTGGTCCGGGCGGGGAGAGGGCGCGGGGGCCGTCGGCAGGTCGCAGTAAGAGGATTGGGGGCCACGGGGGGAAGGGGGAGGGGGAGGGGGGCAGGGGGGGCCACGGTCGGACAGGGGGGCACGATCGGTCGGTCGGAGTAAGTAGAGCAGAGGGGGTGCACGGGAGGCCATTGTGGGGTGGGAGGAGGACGTCGGCCGGTCGGGAAAAAAACAGAGAGGGCCACGGGGGAGAGGGGGGGGGGCACGGGGGGCCACGATCGGGGCACGGTCGGCCGGTCCGAATAAGCAGAGGGGCGAGGGGGGAAGGGGAGGGGCACGGAGGGCCACAATCGGGCATGGGGGAGGGCACGGTCGGTCCGTCGGAATAAGCAAAGAGGGGGCACGGGAGGAAGGGGTGGCACGGGGGGTCACGGTCGGGCAGGGGGGGGCACGGTCGGTCACCGACGTATCCCAGCACCGAGCACACCGAAGCAGTACACCGACACATCGCAGCACGCATCCCAGCACACCCAGTGGGGCTGCGGCCAGCACATATCGCAGCACACTTCAGCACGCCCATACATCCCAGCCAACCCAGCAAACATTCCAGCACATATGCCAACACATATGCCAGCACACGGAGGCAGCACACATCCCAGCATACCGAAAGAGTACATCGACACAGGCCAGCACCGAGCACGTTAATCACACATCTCAGCACACCCAGGGGGGCCACGGCCAACACATATCACAGCACACCGAAGCAGTACACCGACACATCCCAGCACGCATCCCAGCACACCCATGGGGGCTGCGGCCAGCACATATCGCAGCACACCACAGCACGCCCATACATCCCAGCCAACCCAGCAAACATTCCAGCACATATGCCAACACATATGCCAGCACACGGAAGCAGCACACATCTCAGCACACCGAAAGGGAACACCAACACAGGCCAGCACCGAGCACACCAAGCACACATCCCAGCACACCCAGGGGGGCCACGGCCAACACATATTGCAGCACACAGAGGCAAGCACACATTCCAGAATACGGAGGCAGCACAACTCAGCACACACCTGGGCAAACCTCCACACATCCCAGCACCCCCAGCGCACATCCAGGGGCGGCACGGCCAACACATATCACAACATACCGAGGCAATCACACATTCCAGCACACGGAGGCAACACAAACCCAACACACATCTTGTCACCAAACTGTGCCACCAGAACTGGTCCCTAGTTTACAAGAACAACAGCTCCCCCCTAACACTTCCTCACACTGCACTCCCACATCGCGCTCTCTCGCGGGGGGACTTCCTCACACTTTATACAGGAATCGCGCTCTCGCGTGGGACTTCCTCACAATGTATTCAGACACGCTTTCGCGATGGATTTTCTGACGATTCATTTGGGAATCGCGCTATCGCCCGAGACTTCCTCGCCATCCATGCAGGACGCACGCTTCAGCGACCTGCCTGCCCCTTGTCCCTTCCTTCCATCCGTCCTTTCTTCCCCTGCCTTAGGGCTGGACGAGATACACGTTGCAGGTAAGAAGGATAAACCCATAAAAGGGGGTACGATCGCAGACGACGAAGGCGGGTATCCAGGGTTTGCGGTATACGTGTTGAATGGCACGCGGGCAGATAGGAGCGAACAGTCTTTACATCAGTGTTGCTGCTGCTGCTGTTGGTGCTGGTGTTGCTGTTGTTGCAATTGTTTTTATTGGTGTCGCTGCTGCTGTTGTTGGTGTTGTTGTCATTGCTGTTGTTGCTGATGGTGTCGGTGCCGTTGTTGTTGTTGTTGGTGGTGCTGCTGGTGTTGTTGTTGGTGGTGGTGGTGGTGTGGCGGTGGTGATGTTGTTGTTGGTGGTGTTGCTATTGGTCTTGTTGTTGGTGTGTTGGTGGTGTTGGTGGTGGTGGTGGTGGTGGTTGGTGTTGTTATGGTGGTTGTTGTTGTTGATGATGTTGCTGCTGTCGTTGTTGGTGTTGGTGTGGTGGTTGTTGTTATGGTTGTTGGTGTCGCTGCTGTTGTTATCACTTGCTGTTCATGTTGGTGTTGCTTGTGTTTGTTGTTGCTGCTGCTGCTGTTGTTTGTGTGTGGTTGTTGCTGTATGTTGTTGTTCCCTGTTCTCCCTTCTGTCCTCTGCCTCCTCTCTCTCCCTCTCTCTCCCTCTCTCTCTCTCTCTCTCTCCTGTTGTTGTGGTTGTTGTCATATTTGGTTGCTCCCTGCTCCCCCTTCTGTCCTCTGCCTCCTCCCTCTCCCTCCCTCCCTCCCTCTCTCTCTATCTCTCTCTCCTGCCCCGTCTCCGTGGTGCTCCCTGCTCGAGGGCCCGCCCCCTCCCAGCACAAACAACAGCACCCGGGCAGGGGTGTCCCTCCAGTTCCTGGCCGCTTCCGGCGGCCCCAGGCTCCCCAGGCTTAAGTCGGGCCTGTCCCCCTACAGGGGGATTTTCGACGAAAAATAAGAAATACCCCAAACATAATCAAAAAATACTCCGAAAATAATCAGGGGATTATGTTTGAGTATTGTTTTGCCTTTTTGCTGTATTTTTTTGGTATTTTCGATTTTTCGTCGAAGGTCCCCCTGTAGGGGGACACGCTCGACATAACCCCAGGTGGACGCCAGCCCACGGCCTGTCCGTGGGGCCCGAGAGGCCTCGAACACGGCCCTGCGAGGCTTCGCAGAGGGCTGCCTTCGGAGAGCCCAGGGCGGCCAATTGTGGCCCGGAGGTGTCCCAAGATGGCCCAGGAGCGACCCAGGACGCCCGCAGGAGGGCAAGGCACATTCAAGAACTATTTCGCTTCCAATGGCGTTTGCCTGTCCCACGTTTTGCTCCCAGGGTGTCCAGATATCGCGTCCAAACGGCCCGCCCATGTAGCAGCCGAGATCGCACAAAACGGCCTCAAGAGGGCTCCCAAAGGACCCAACATGCTGCCCAAATCGCCGAGAATGGCCCAGCAAGGCTCGAAGATAGCCCCAAGATGCCAGCAGAGGCCTCAAGATAGCCCCGGGATCGCCCAACCTGGCCCGAACATGGCCCCAGAGGCCCCAGGGTGCACCCGAGATGCATGCCTGGCGCCACGGCGCAAGATCTCACGGCAAAGGGGGCCATGACGCCCCACCCTCTCTGCCCGTGCGGCCTGGCGCGCGGCCCCGCGCGCTCGATCGGAGCCGGCAGGAGGGGCTGGCACGAGGACCGACGACGGCGGCGGCGATGTCACGGACGATGGCGACGGGGCCGCGCGCTCCTCGCAGCCCGCAGCCGCCAACTCGGGGCACGCCTCCCCCGAGGCCCTCCAGCGCCGCAGCCACCAGCCTGCCGCGCCCGCCCCGCTACCCCGCAGGCCTCCTGGCGCCTGCTCCTCGCGCCTCGCGGCGGCCGGCAGCGGCAGCGACGCTGGGCGCCCCGTGCAGCGCTCTGCTGCGCGGGCCGCCGTCGGAGCAGGAGGAGGAGGGGGAGGAGGAGGGGGAGGAGGAGGAG